GTGGTTTACCATTCAGTCTGAACTTTGTTATTCTGGGCTTTGTATCTGCTTATTCCTTAGATCTACATTTGACTCATATAGAAATAACCTGAGAAGCCAGGGAAGTGGGAAGAAGGAAAACACACTGCCAGTTGTCAGAGTAAAGGTTTGACTAGTGGCAGATAGAAAGGAGGGGCCACGACCAGACACTAGACAGGTTCACACAGGTGTGCACACAGAGGGTGCCAGAAACCACAGAGACAATCAAGGCAGCAGATAGTTTGTATCAAATTAAGGAAGGAAATCAATTTTATAGAATACAACAGTGTGCCAGACACTGAGATGGGTGGAGATGCTTTATTTAGGTTATCTCAGCTAAGCCTTCCCACAGAGCTGGAAATGAGTATTAAGATGTGACAGCAGGCAGTAGCGAGGCCTCAGTCAGGCCCCTGGGGTTCAGATTCCAGTTCTTGAGAAGACTGGTGAGAGAGCTTCACAGCTCTGACCTTTTGGTTGTCTAGTCATTTAATTTTTTTTCCTGATTATAACATTAAAAAGTATCAATTGAGAAAACTTGAGAAATAAGTCTAAAGAAGGAAATAAAAGCAACCATGATCTACCAAGCAGAGGTAATCACTGTTAATAAGTGTGCAGAGGTTTGTAGAACTGTTTTTCAGATACTTGGTATGACTCTGTATATAGTATTTTGTATCCTAACTTCTTTACAAGCAGCATTTCATGGGCATTCCCTTATGTTCTTAATCTTTTTTTTAGGATCATTTTGTGTTCTTTTAAAATTTAAAACATTTTTTCTTTCAATTTTATTGAGGTATAATTGACATATAGCACTATGTAAGTTTAAGGTGTACAACATAATGATTTATGTGCATCATGTCATAATCATTAAGTTTAATACATAGCCATCATCTCATATAGATACAAAATTAAAGAAACAGCAAAAAATTTTTTTCCTTGTGATGATAACTGTTAGGGTTTACTCTCTTTAACAACTTTCATATATAACATACAAGAGTGTTAATTATATTAATAATGTTGTACATTGCGTTACATCCTCAGTACTTCCTTATCTTACAACTGGAAGTTTGTACCTTTTGAATGCTTTCATCGAGGTTCCCCTCCCTAAATATTCTTCCCTCCCTCCGTCCCTCCCTCCTTTCATTCTTATTTTGCTCTTTTTAAGAGCATATTCAAATTTCTCTTTAATCCTTTTACTGAATATTTTATTTTAATTTTACATTTAATTTCCAAGAGCTCTAATGTCCTCTGATTGCTCATTTTTTATGTTTTTTTTATAACTCCTGTTCTTTTCTCATGATATAATCTCTTGCCTCTGTGGGTATTAAATACAGTAGTTGCTATGAAATTTTTTTCTGTGTCTTCGCTTGTCTCTGTTTCCTTATACTTATTTTTATTTGTTTTTCTCTATGCCTTTTGTTTTGATGCTTTTTGCAAATAACTAGGAACCTTTGGCCATCATTCCTATTTCAGAGTGAGTCAGTAAAATCTGCCTGTGGCAGAGCTTGTCAGCTGCTGACCTCTGGAAGTTTTCTTCTCACTGGCGAGCCTAGCACGATAAGGAGGGCTTTCTCTCTCTAGGGCTTTCTATGTACTTTGCCTAGACGGCGCATCCAGACCCTCCTTCATTTCTTCCTAGATTTGGAAGTATGACTTTTCAGAATACTCCCCCCTCCCCGACATTCTTTCTTTAAAAGCACACACTTGTGTGTAATGTACATAGTGCAGATTTGGGGTTCTCTCAGTTTAGTTAATGTGTTCAGATATTATGGCATGACAATGGTGCCCCTTCCTTTGTTTAATAACTGCAAGTGTGGTTTGTTGATTTATTTTGCACATTTTTTTGTGTGTATTTCATTATGTTTTAGGGGAAGGAAGAGTTTATGATCTGGGTTAATTTGAAATCTTATCCTAGAAGTTTTTCCCTACTTTGTGAATTCTGAATTGTTAGTGTATGGATGTACAATAATTTATGTAGGCAATACTCTATTTTTGGATTTTACTTTGTTCCTCATTTTATGCATTGCACATATGGCTATTGTGAGCATCCTTTTACATACAATTTTAGCTGAGGTTGTTATTTCCTTAGGATAGAATCCTTAGTGTAATTACTGGATCAAAGGATACAGTCATTAAGGTCCTTAATACTTGTTTCTAAATTACTTTCTAAAATGCTGTTGGTTTATATTCTCAGCATCAGTAGACATTTTTTATTACAGTTGAAAAAAAATAGAATAACTTTGCAGGTGAAAAGTAGTATCACATAATGCACATTTTAATTTGCATTTGTGTTTTCTTTTTCTCTCTGTCTCTCTTTTTGGCCTATTTTTGGCAGTGAGTATGGACAGTATTTAGATTTTTCTTACTGATTTATCCATGCTTGTTTAATGACATCTAATGATTACTAAGCCTTTATCATGTTGCAAATATTTTTATTGCCTTTCTTTTACTTTTGATTGCTTTTTAATGTGTTTTTAATTTTTATATGCATAACTAATCTTTTAAAATGGATTAAACCCTTCTAATTTTTGTGCTTTGAAAGGCTTCCTTCATCCCAGCATCAAAGAGTCACCATCCTTCCTTTAGCTCTTTTAGATTTCCTTTTATGAGGTTAACTCTTTAGCCCATTAATGTTTTTGTATAGCATGAGGTAAAGAACATGAGTTTTTTCTCTATATAGTTAAACTCATTTTTCTGTTGTTATTATTGTCATCAGATTTCCAAATGATTTGAAAAGTCACCTTTTACATAAAAGTTTCAATAACCAGGATCTATTTCTTGGCTTTTAAATTTTATTCTGCTTATCTTTTTAATCCAGTGCAGCACACTTAAAAAAAAAACAATGATTTTAGCTTTTTAATATGTTTTACTCTCTGGTGATGCTAGTCCTTTAAAATCTCCCAGGACTCCAGTCCTGACAGTGCCTAAGTCAGGGAAATGCCAAAGGGGTGTTGGTTTTGAACACAGGCCAGAGGGAGACCAGGACAAACGTGGAACCTTGGAGCCGCTTTCCTGGAGCTCCTTGAAGTTGCCCTGAGGAGAACCAGCATAGATGTCAGCCTGGGAGAGGGCTCAGTGAGCAGGTTCACTAAGTATAGGTGGGGTGATTGGAGGGGCGTGGGATAAAGTGTAACTAGTAGGACTTTAACAAATCTAAATTACCAATTGACTATAGAAACCTCTTCAGGCACCACAGCAAGGGAGCTTGCAGGCCTCTTTCTTTTCCATGTATCTTCTAGCTGCTTCATTATGACTTTCTTTCCTTCTCGGGGAAGACTGTTAGGGATTGCGGATAAGGGAGAAGAGAACAATGAAGTAAGAATGAGAGTAGACTGAAGGCACTTCCATTTCTCTACTTTAAAGCACACCTATAATATCTTTAGAGACACCTTCGAAGCTTCAGACATTTCAGTCCACATTTCATTGTGGTGATCTTTCTTTCTTTTTTTTAATTATCAAGAATGGTAGATCTATTTTAGAATTTCTGCTTGGCTTAGGGCAAATTTATCAATAGAAAGAGAAGGCACCTGTTACATTTTTACATTCTTAAAAGCAAAGCTTTATCTCTCATTCCTGCTCTGCATCCAGAGTCATCTTTGGTTGGAGACTGTGGCTGTGTTCATAGCTGTCACACGATCTTGACCGTGGCTGCAGCCTGCTCTCCCGTTTTCTCTGCTGTGTAACATTTCCCAGTTCTTGTGTACAGTGTGGATAAGGCTACAATATTCTGTAAGACTTTACCAAGGGCAGGGGAATAAGTAAAAGGAAGTTAGCATAAAGAGTAGCGTGCAATGGTGTAATTTTTCACATGAGACCTGGTTTTAGTCGTCTTTAGCTTTGCTTTCTCTCTGGCTTCTGGATTGCCTCAAATTAACAAAAGCCATCTTTTCTCTGCAACTCAGGAGATCCTTCAAGCATGTGTAGACTCGAAGTCAAACCCAAAAGAGAGGACTTCATGATTGATGCTGGGAATGCTGAAAATGGGCATGGCTTGTACCTTCCACAAAAAATCATACCTAACTGTATTCTAATAGCCTCCCTGAGATAGTCATATCTAGCTTTATCCCAATAGGCTAATATTCTGACCAGAAATAAGCATGTGGTGGGTGAATGGGACTCTGTCATAGATTTTTATAAAATAAATCTATAATTATACTGCTGTGTAATTTTATGGCTTTTAAAATAAGGGATACAGTGTTTTATAATTTAAAAAACAGTGGGATAGAACCACTAGACCTGGGTTCTTTTCTGATTTGCTAATAAACAGTCATTTTTTCAGCAAGTCACTCAATCTTTCTATAGTTTTGTTGAAAGAGTTGAATATAATTAGTCTGTAATATTATGATTTTTGGCTATAATTGAATTATGATTATAAAAGTTATACCTGAATTTTTCTTTTGATGATATATTAGTCTGTTCTAATGATTCTGAGATATTAATGAGGAATAAAGTCCTGATTATTGTTCTGATGAGAAAAAATGATCCATTTTATTATGATATACTTTATAGGACAATCCCTGCATTTATGGTGACAGGTGGGACCTGCTTTTATTTAAAAGGGGCCTCAGGGGTGGAGGGGAGCTATAGCTCAGTGGTGGAGGGCATGCTTAGTATGCATGAGGTCTTGTGTTTGATTCCCAGTACCTCCAGCAGAAGGAAAAAAAATAAAGCTATAAAAAAATAAATAAAAGGAGCCATGGGAGCTTACTGTGAGTTTTTTTTTAATAAAGTAAATATTTATCTCTTTAGTACATATAAATTTAGATGTTCTTAAAACAATTTAATTGTATGTAGTTCTGTCTGTATCTAGATTCTGTATTTCTAGTTCATTCATATATTTGATATTTTATCTTTAAAATTTTTAAGTTGAAATTAAACAAAAGCACCATGTGTTAAAGTACTTAAAGAGTGAGTTATTTGGTACTCTTAGTTACCATAGACCAATTTTTTCTTTCTACTTATGTATAATCTATGTTTTTTTCCAGAGTGAAAAGCTTTTGTTATATGATACAGTCCAGAGTGAACTAGAGGAGAAGATCAGAAGGCTTGAAGAGGACAGGCACAGCATCGACATTACCTCAGGTGACGGGGTGCTGTGACTGGTGTTTGTGACACCTCGCCTTTAGTTTACTGCTGTCTTGTAATGTCTCATCCCCTATACAAGTGTTATGTAAATGAAGTGCCCTAATTGGGGGCGGGGGGACTGCTGAAGAATTTGCTCTAATTGTGATTGTTGCTTTGTGATTTGAACTCACACTTCAGAAAGACATAGGAAATGAAAAAGAACAAAATAGAAGTGTGACAGGAACTATAGGCAGAAGAATAGGAAACTACAAGAATAATGAGCTATTGTTATAAGAGTAGAATTGGAAGACAGCTATAGTATATGTTCTTTCCTCTACGTCTGGAAAGATTACCATGTGGAAGAAGGAACTGAAACCTTTTCTGTTTGGTACCACACAGACTAGGACAAATGGATGGACATTACAGGGAGGAAGATTCTTGTCTCAATAAAAGGAAATACTGATTAATTCTTAGATCAGTCCAAAGTGAAATTGGCTTTTTCAGGGGTACCATGGAAAGGCTTTGTACATTGGATGGAAGATTTACTGGGTTATCCTGTGGTTCTTGCATATGTATTATTTTCCTTGTTATAAATTCTGTTTCTCCAGTATGGAGTAGGCAGAGTGGACAAGCTGAGCTCTAATGCCACTGCTCCATTACTTACTAGTCAGGTAACCACGGGTGACAGTCACTTCAGCTTTTCTTAAATCAGTCTCCTTGTATAATTGAAGTAATGAGAACATAGAGGTAGCTTTAAGGGTTAGTTGAGACAATTCATGTGATGTATATTTAATAATGTACCTGACATATGTTCATCAGTTATTAGTCATTAAGTCCCAAGTTGATTTTTACTCTAATAAAGGCAGAGGAAAATTCATAAATATATAGCTGCTCATGAAATATATATAGTCATGCATATACAGTATATAAACATAGCCACCAATGAAGTTTTGCTACCGTGGAATTATATAGTCTTTTTACCCTCCTTTAATATCTAGAAATCTGTAATACTTAATTTTTATTTCCTTGCCAGAGCTGTGGAATGATGAGCTTCAGTCAAGAAAAAAGAGGAAGGATCCTTTCAGTCCTGACAAAAAGAAGCCGGTTGTTGTTTCAGATATCCTTTCCCAAATTTTCTGGGGTTTTTTGGGTTGTTTTGTTTTAATGTACATTTTTGCATTGTGCATATCTTTGTAACTTTTATTAGTATACATTGTCTTTATTTGCATGATCCTGTAATAAGCAAAAGATGATTTATGAAACTGATTGAAGGCAGAAGAATATAGTTTAGATTAAGAGGGATAGGGGAGGAGTAGAAATTTAGTCACAATCTAAGTTTTGAAGATTAATATGGCTTTATAGTTCATGAGGGCTTCGATATGAAATAGCTGTTTATTGTATAGTGTGATTGCTAAATTGTCATATGTACTTTTTTTTTAATAGACTTTTTTCTTTTAGAGCAGTTTCAGGTTCACAGCAGAATTGAGCAGAAAATAGAGTTCGCACATAGCCCTCCCCACCCTCACATATATATTTTTAACGTTTTTACTGTTTCTCAAATTGGAGTGTCTTTATATTAAATTAATATGTGCATTCAATCTTGGCATTCCCTATGATACCCTCCCTGGGCCCCTACCTTTCCCCTCATCCTCAAAATAATGATTAGGTTGGTGGTTGATCTTACTATTAATGTCATCACAGGATTAAGAGAAAACGGTTATAGCATCTGAATTCTCAAATGTATTTATCCTGGTACTAAGGTTTCTGAAGAAAAATTTGAAATCAGAATTCAGCATGCTGCAGGGTTATGTTCAGAAGTCATTGTTCCATTCTCTGAAAATCAGAAGTTTGGAAATATAATTCTAAATGTGAAATTCCTACAACTAAATTGGCCTTGACTTTTCAACGTCCATATATAGTTTATATGCTGCAAGATCTTGATATTCTTGAAGACTGGACAACAATCAGGAAGGTACGATTAAAGAGCAATGGAATACAAGTATTTTTCATAGTCTCCTTTTTAAGATTCTATAATGCTTCACTAATACATCAAAGTATGGTTATTGTAAATATGCTTACTTTGCACAGTCTCTCTTAAGGCAGTTAATACAAATACAGATAACAATGGATTGTGAGAGAATTTTAAGAGAGACATGTTAGGTGTTTGACTATTTTTTCCTGCGATAGTGTAATTAATAATTTCTGCAAAAGTACAGAAAATTATTTGGATTGCCCCAAATGATAACAAATTTCCATTTGGTGCTTAGTTCTTAGCCTGGTACTGGCTCACAGAAGGCACTCAGTAAATGGTGAATGAACGAAAGTGAATAGTTGAACCTTTATTATATATCTTGCATTCTGTTATTAAACATTCAAGACTTAAAGGATTTTGTGTGCTTGTTTCAAAGTGGAGACTTGTCTTCCTATTAAATTTTTCCATCTTCAGAAGCTTCTTAGTTGAGAATTAGAGATTATTTCAGGTATTGATAATACCTTAAGGATAAATTGTTATTCTTTTTATATATTCTCTGTGGTCTTAGACATTACCAATTTATTTAAGCAGCTGCAGATTGTATTTCTCTGTGTTTATTATTAAGCTTATCAGTAGTGTTGAATATATAGTCTTCCAAAATATACTTTGCCTTTGAACTCAGACATCTTTCTTCTTCTTCTTTTTTTTTAAATTTTTTATTAAGGCGATGGCTACCCTGGGTCCGCACAGGGTGAAAACAGAACGTAAGTCATTTAGTCTGAATTCAGAAATCTTCTCTATGGAGACTTGTTAGGTCATCAGCATACGAAAGAGCTCCCCATCAGTGGTTTCACTTCATCAGTGAACCCTAGAATTAGAGGGAATTCTTTTGGGGTCTTTGCCTCATGTAAAAGTTTCAAGATTTTTGAATGGGAGGTATTTCTTCTTTCAGTGTTTCAGCTCCATTACAATTGCTAATAATGTCAGTAATTTAAAAAGTGTTTAATATTTTTTTATGGGCTCAGCAATTCTATGGGGGAGGTGTTTAGAGTCCATGGATTTCCTTCAGGAAGCCTACGAATCCTCCAGAATTGTGAGCAGCATTTCTTCTGTGCCTCTGTTTTCTAGGAGAGAGATCAGAGTGCTGGCAGTGGAGTTCACCAAGAAAATTTAGGCACCTCAAAGATTTACACATTCTGATATGCCTTAGTAAAATTCATAGCAAATGATACCTTTGCAATTGTGGAAGTCTGAAATCACTGCCAAAGTAGTCGTGGGCATTCTTGTCTAGGATAACTTTCTCTATTTCTTCCTCCTTTCACTATATATGAGATTTCCTAATCCTTCTAAAGACAATGAAGCTAGAATTTTTAAAAAACATGTTTTAAATACTAAAAGGAATCACACTCCAACAGATAAATCTGTTTTCTAAAAGAGATTGATTTCTATTTTATATTTAACCCAAAGATTCTTCTAAACTTTAAATGATGTAAGGAAGTTAGCAATATTGTACTAAACTACTTCCCTTCGGAATTAACTGAAAGGGTAACAACCTAACTTCTGTATATTCCGAACGCTTTTGAGTCATGGGGCCCTTTAAGAGCATCTCTACACTGTTGAGTGGGTCTCCTCCCACACCCTGTTATCTTTAGTGTGTGTCCTGCCTGTTTTCTTTGTGGCACTTACTGCAGTCTGTCATTTTATTGATTGTTTACATGTTTATCTGTCTCCTGACAGAACTGTAAGCTCCACAAAGGTCAGAAACATCTCTCTTTTGGTCACAGTGCTCAGAAGATATTTGTTGAATGAATGAATGAGTTAATACTTTTTATTATTAAAACCTTCTACATACCAGGCACTCTTTGAGGCTCTGGGGATACAATGGTGCAAGAGATGGACCTCCTGGAACTTCCCTGGGGGAGGCAGAATAATATATATTTAAATAAATAATTAACAAGATAATGACCTATTATAGTAATTGCTATGAAAAAAATATAAGGCTGTGATGAAGATTAACTGAGGGCTGGGTAGGGTGGTTGGGGAGGACCTTCCTGAGGTGGTGATGTTGTAATAAGGGAGAAGTACCTGTTTCATGGTTTGCTTTTGATGGGGTGCTTCCAGAAAGAACATTTTTTTCTCTGCATGAGGTTATCTGATTAATGCCAAACCATTTCTAGGGTTTAAAAATGGAAGTTCTACTTAGGACATTTCCTTTTTAGAATCAAAGGCCTGGGTAACTCTTGGAATATATTATACTCTGCTCCTTTGGAAGTATCAGCTGCAGGGGAGAAAATATGAAAAATACAACTTTCAGTGTAAATATGGTAATTCATATTTTAAATCTTAAGATTGGCACTAGAGATTGATAATGTACCTGCTTCTCCTTTTTGCCCTTGTATAGTTAATTGATTTATTCTATATTGTTAAGCTTTATTATATAGCTATATTATAAACTTAATGAAGTATGTAAAAAAGTAAGAAATTAAATTCTCTTATTTTTATTAGACTTTGGTTTGTTATCTAAGAAATATTTTTAGTGTTTTTTTCACATATGTGCATGGATTGATTTTAATACTTAGTGTTCTGCACTTTTGTTCTTCTGACAATGTCTTATTAATATAACAGTTTTTAAACTGATCCCTTTAGCACCTGTGAAACTGGAAAAACACCTGCACAGTGCTAGATCTGAAGAGGGAAGATTATATTATGATGGTGAATGGTATATACGTGGACAGACAATATGTATTGATAAAAAAGATGAATGTCCTACAAGGTAAAAAGCCTTTATCATTTCACTGCTGCTCAATATTAGTGTTTACTGCATTGTTGTCAGTAAATATTTTCTGCTTCTGTAGTGCATTCATAATGCGTTATTAGTTGCCTGTGGAATCTTTTTTTCTCTTGGCATATGATTTGATCAGCATGTTTGCACAGCAGTATTAATATTATACACCAGAGTTACTTATTAAGTTCACAGACACAAGCATTAACACAAATAGAAATGTTGGAATTATTTAGCCAGGTGAGAGATCCCGTTTGTTCATTCTTATCATAGATAACTTTGTTATGATTCTATGATTATGGCCTTTAAATCAGACTGTTACGCACTTGACAGTGTGCTTCCACAGTATGGCTCTATTAATCCTTGGGTTTTTTTGGTATACTACAGTATTTTGGGTAAAAAAAATTATATTAATTAGAGTGGGAAAGGAATGGAGAATTAATTAGTGGTAATTAAAGTATAACATGAAAACTGAGAGTTGTCTTTTAAACAACTCAATCTAGGCTTAAATAAAATTTATGTAATTATTTATGGGGCCTTCTAAGTTTTATCTGCTATGTCTTTTGGAAAATATTAATACCCTTCACTGCTTTAATTCCTTCCATAGTTCAGGATTTAATTCTCAGAGTAGTAATCTACAGTAAGAAAGTAATCTTTTCTAGGTGTCAGTAATAAATAAAGTATTTGCATTTAGTATGGAATACTCATTTTCCAAATACAGTGGTATTAACTGGATTGCAATTTTATCTTTAAGTTTATAGGATACCAGTAGCACTGTGTATAGTAACTTTTCTCTTAGCTCAGTGAATTAGTTACTAGGTTATATATGATACCCCTGGATTCTTTAACTTTATCTTACTGCTTTTGAGACATTTTATTAGTGACTACTTAGTATAAACGTGGAGATGAAATAGAATAAAAGAGGATTAAACACAAATCTATTTTTAGGAAGATTTCTGTGTAAAGATTAGAGGGGTCAAAAAAAATAAAAACCCAAACTAAACATACAAGTACCACACGTGCTTGACACTGGGAATTAGGATTGGTATTTGAAAGATTTCCTACAGCCAAGGCTGATAGGAGTTGGATGTGTAATACTATGTATGGAGTGGTTTTAGCTCCACTCTGTCTTCTTTTGGAGTTGGGGTCAGAATGGAGTTAGTGTAAATGTTCTTTTAGTCAGTTTTACTAACTCTATTAGTAAGACAAGAAAGGAGTTTTTTAAGTGTTGCCGAATGTGATATTTTTGACAGCATGCCCTGCTGATAGTCAGCATTCTGGTAGATGACAGTTACATACCTGAATCTACTGTTGTAGTCCAGCTATTTTGATTTTATAGCTAGTGCTCTAAAATGAGTGGAGGAGGCATGTTGTAATTCATTCATTCATTTTTTTTTCCTTTTTAGTGCCATAATTACAACAATTAACCATGATGAAGTTTGGTTTAAGAGGCCTGATGGAAGCAAATCTAAGCTTTACATTTCACAGCTACAGAAAGGAAAATATTCAATTAAACATTCGTAATCATGATTTAAGTGTTATCTAAATGTACCTTATTAGTGTTACCAAGTATGATGTGCCATGGGAATAAAAAAACATATTCAGTAACTTAATATTCTCATTGAATCTTGAGAGACTATGTATTTGTAGGTAGTACTCTAAGTAGACCTCATGTTGATATGTTACTAAAAGAGACAGTAATAAACGTTTAATCATAATCATTACATTTATTTGCCTTTTAGGTCCAATGACCAATAGGTATATATGGTAAGGGTTTCTTACTAAACTTTGTTTGGTTTTTATGTAAATCTGTCTTCTCTTTAGTGAACTATGTTGCTAAATGGCCGGCCACATTTATCTGCAGTTTTCTTGATTTTCAGTATCTGTCATTGATCATGCATTTGTAAATAAGCCTGATAAAATGTTTCCTATAAATGGTTTGTATTAGTACATAAGTGTTAAATCAGAATTGAACTTTCAGCATATATACGTGAGTATATATAGGTGGCATCGTCAGCTTGTTTAGAACTGATGGCCTTACTTTACAATCTTGTTTTACCCAAAATCAAGCTATTGCGTTTGAAAGCTAAAAGGAGCACTTTTGTAGGCTAGCAGCTTTCCTTTTCCTCTCCTTGATTGTATGGTGGCGACCTATTTTTACAAATTATACTTCATGTTGATTAGTAAAATTCATGTCAAGAAATAACATGCTTCTACCTGTGTTTCTCGTGAACCTTTAGAAGGCAGGTATTCAGGCCTGGTGTTTATGATGCAGGAAATAAGTGGTGAACCGTAACTGACAGTATTGTGGTGCTTGCTGTATATGTCTGATCTTTTGAAACAGATTTTTAGTAAGCATTTTCCAGAGGTAAAACTAGATTCTTATCCTAATTTTATTCCTAGGGCAAAATAGACAGGGATGATCCCCTTGAATCTGTTCCCAAATTAATATTTTTATCTTTGGTGTTTCTACACTTTAAGGCCACTTGGTGCAATTTAGAAAGTATTGGCCTCTCTTCCCCTAGTCACATTCAAAATTAACTTCTAAAACCTCAGGAACAGTACAATGACTCGAAGCCCTCAATATGGCAGCGCAGTTGGCTGTGGAATATATTAGGGTACAACCAAATCAGGTATTCCTGGTGGTCTTGTGCACTTTAATTTCTGTTATATTGAGACAAGGATGAGGAAGAGATCTACTTTTTAACACTTAAGGCAGTAATATCTGCATTATTCTGTTTGTTTTCTTACTATTTTGCCTCTGCAAACATCTTTCTGTACAGATCACTACTTCACAGTTGCCAAATGTTAAAATATTTGACTTCTGAAATTTGTTATCAGCAAAGTTGCATACTTTGTTCTGTTTCTAATTAACCTTAGCAAATGTATATAGTGTCATAATCCAATAGTATTTGACAGTACTTATGTATACAATGTTTCATAAGCATTTTTAATCAGATTTGTATTTTTAAATTTAGTATATAATAAAAAGATGTGGTTGAGTGTCATTTGTAGTGTCTTGAATTACTTGTGCATAAGTTCTTTTATTATTTATAACTTGTCTACTTCTAAGAAGGATTTGAGCCAACTTGCATTGGCATGGAATGTTGGAGTGTTGAACTAATGTTTCTGCTTCCCTGTACCACAGTTCACCCTCTCTTGGGGTGTATTTAGATATTTAAGATATCTAAGTTATACTTAATTTAAAATATGCATTTATGTTATCTTAATAAAAATATACTGTATAAGTTCTGAAATTCTAAGTAGAAAGTCTTTATCTTAAAAACTATGGTTTAGTACATTTACTTTCAAAACCTCAATATTTATATCGTAGGTAACTATTTCATAATACAGATGCTGATTCAGGTAAGCTTATACTTGTCTTTAATTAAAATACTATAAAATACATTTCATTATTGGCAGTTTGCCACTAGTCTTCCGGCCAGAAGGTTTGGTTTAGGGGAATTGTTAGGACCTGCAGCATGCGATATAACAGCTGCTGCTGTTACGTCTATGGTCAGCCTCTGTCTTGGGGTCAGTGTGTGGGCCTTTCCGTCATAGCTCCCAGTAGCTCCTGTTTAGTCTATCCCTTCTCACCATTTCCCTTTAAAAGAATTTAATCATCACTAATCCAATTCATCACTAATAATTATTAACAAACATTAATGTGCAGTCCTCATTCTGTCCCTTTTCCTCACTGGACACCGAGGACTTTTCATTGCAACCTTCCTCATGTAGAAGTTGTCTTGATGTATGTGTTACTCAGAACTCAAACACCACTGATAGAATCATGTACAATCTTAAATAATTGATAATTACTTAAAAAGAACAGGGACGTCTGTTATTTCTTTGTTTTTGTGCAGTTTTTTTTAAAGAAATCTTATTTATTTATTATATTTGGGAGGAGGAGGGGGAGGTAATTTGGTTTATTTTATTTATTTTAATGGAGGTATTGTGGATTGAA